TTTTGAGTCGGTTTCTTCTAATTCTTCTGGAGTAGGATGTACAATTCTTCTTATTTCGGGATCCCTGGATTCTGATGATGTCATGTTGCCTTTCATGTTGTTGGAGGAAGTCTTGCATTGGCGCCTTCCCATCTCCTCCTTCAAATGGAGCCGGGGAGTCCTGGTGTCTTGGTCCAGTCTTTGCTGTGAGTGAGTCTCTGGGTGTATCTCTTCAGTGTAGAAGCAGCGCCCTTCCTGTCGAGCTGGAAGTCCTCAGCACCCAATCATGGACGACTGGTAGTCCAATGACCCGCGGACAAAAAGGAGGAATTTGAGGGGCAGGGCAGGGACGAGTAGAACACAGGACACCCTGCCTCACAAGTTGAAGGTGCGCAAGTTCCCTTTCAGGGGTCCTTGAGGCCTGACATGTAGGCAGGCACTCACTGCTCTTGGTTGGAAGCCTTAGTGTAGGAGCAGAAAACTGTTCCTGAGCAAAGGACCTTGCAGAGAATGCAGGCTGGGGGGGGGGGTCGTGTATAAGAAAGACAGCCCTGCAGAAGGAGCTGGGGGAGGGGGGTTTGTGCTCTCTTCCGGGACTATTGCCCCTGGATAGCACACACTCGCCCGTCCAGATGGAGCTCCTCAGCACCTAAACAGGGCCGCCTGGTAGCCCAGTGATCCAGGGACAGAAGGAAGGATGGGGCAGGCAATGCAGGATCCAGGAGAGAGCACAGGAGCCCCTGGAGCCCAGGCTGAGGGTGCCCAGGCTCTCTTACTGGGGACCTTGAGGCTCACTGTTCTGGGTGGGTAGTCTTAGAGTAGGAGCTTAAAGTAGGAGCTTAAGACTCAGGGCCATTTTCTTGACTATGCATGATGCTTTTAAATCTCTCATCTTAAACTTCACTTAAGTAGAATGCCTGATTGTGAATCATTGGAGATTCGCAGTCCTTCTCTGTTCTGTTTTGCTTACAGCTGTACAGTATGTGGCAATTTGATTCCTATCAACCACTCTACTTAGTGCCCTACGTTATAATCCATGACTATCTTATTCACCTAATATATAACATTTTGTACTTTTTATTCTTATACAGAATTGCCTTCCACACACTTTATAATTCCTTTTCTAAATTCATATAAACAGGGACTATTTCACTTGGTCTAATCTATGCTGCCTTCCTGTGGTGACATAAATATCTATTCTCATTCTAGCTCTTTCTGATGTGGAAATCATAGCCCAATCGATCACATTTATTTTTGTTGGCTATGATACTACAAGCACTGTTCTTTCCTTTATTATGTATACATTGGCCACTCACCCTGATGTTCAGAAGAAACTCCAGCATGAGATCGATTCAGTCTTGCCCAATAAGGTGAGTGAGTAGTACCTGGAGACAGATGGAAAAAATGAAGGCCTAATGAAAAGCTCTTCTTCCATACTTGCACTGAGAATTGTAGTAAATATAGTGAGCATTGCTTCTTTCAGTAATAGTCACTGAAAATATATGGGAAGAAGAAAAAGTGAGATATAGAGAAAATTCTGTTCAGAGAAAATAATCTTTTTACTTCTATTACTGCTCTGGTCATATCCATTATCTATTTCCACAGTGACAGGATCCAAAAACATGCATAAAACACTTTAGATTTTAATAATAAGCATACAAAAGTCAAGTATCTCCTTTAAATTTTACTTAATTTAAATTTAATTTAATTTTTATAAAGGTTTTGCCTGAATGTTTATCTATGAATCTTGTGCATGTCTGGAGATAAAGAAGGTTAGAAGAGAACATCAGGTCCCCTCTAAGAACAGCTCCAAAAACTGCAATCTATAATATGGTTACAGGAACTGTCTCTGAATTAGACAGAACAAATAGTGCTCTTAACCAGAGGCATCCATCTAGACTTTACAACAATTCATAGCTGTATTATTAATATTAGAAGTACTTTGGCATGGTGGTATACTGATGGAGACTTGGCTTATTTCTGCTGAGTAGGTTGATCCAACTAGTCTCACCATAACTCGTCTTTTCAATCATATAATTAATTAGACTAGAACAAGACCAACCATGGTAACTTACAACCTAAACTGTCCACCTTTCTAATATGGTCCCTTCAGTGTTCCATGGAGTGCCAACCATATGTTACACAAGTTGTATTCAAATCTACACCCAAACCTGATGCTATGGAGAGTGAAGTAGCTCTGGGACTGGATGGGTTGTCAGAGAGGTGCACACAAGCATCTTCAGACCTCATACTCACCCTCTCTTTTTGCTTCATTCCGCTACTGTAGTAAGTGCCATAACACAAAATAACTATGGGAAGGAAAGGTTTGATTTCAACTTACATTTTTTTCTGATAACAGTCTATCGTTGAGGAAAGCCAAAGGAGGAACTCAAGACAGGAACTTGGAGGCAGGACTTCTTATCGCTCCACACAGCACTGCTTCTGAACAAGATGCTATCTCACAGTTAAAGAAACACAGCAAAGGCCAATGAAGATACTGGTTGATATTTGGATCACTCACTGACTCATGCTTATCTGGCTGTTCTTAGACAGCACAGGAACACATACTCAGGAAATAGTGCTAACTGCAGAAGGATTGACCATGTTCAATCAACTTAGCAATTAGAACAAACCTACCAACAAATGTTCCCAAGTCAGTGTGATGGTGGAAACACTAATCCCTCATTTGAGACCTTCTAGGGTGCTGCTGGTCTGGTTAATGTTGGAAGTTAAAGCTCACTAGGACACCATTTGAAGCTATAAGGAGAAAGATTATTTCAGTAGCTAGACATGAACCTGAGTGGACTTTTCAGTTGAATTGAAATTTTGTGCTCAAGTACTATCTGTTGTTGCCTTATTTTATGAATTTTCAGGGGAAGTTCCTGTTAGAGTCATTCACTATCAATTATATATAATATATATTTATATTATATATATATATATAACAGCATTTCTCTTCAAATTGCATAGGTATAGTAATATAAAATTTAGCCACAGAATTTACAGAACTTGGGCTGTCAGTTGAAAGACTTGATGTACAGTTTCATAAAAGGTGCTACCACATTCTATTTCCTTTGTCTGGTCTTATGGTTACTTTCTATGACCTTATGACCAACGCAAAAGTTGATGGACCTTGAATGGAATTGTCATACTTTATCATTCATTATTACGTGCAAAAGAAAGTAGTGCAAAGGAAAACTAAAGATTTGGGTCCTGAATATTCTCCCACATTCACTTCACCATGCATTTCAATACTCCTTTAGCAGGTCAAAATTTTACTGTTGCAAAAATGACTAATAATGATAAATACACTCTTTAACATTAGTAGAATGTGGAGTTTCTGACAACTTAATAGTGCTGTATTGCTTGACCTGAAAGTTAATTTTAAATCTTGCCTCATCAAAATCTGTTTTTTCTCTTCCCAGGCACCTCCCACTTACGAAGCCCTGGTAAAACTGGAGTATCTGGACATGGTGTTAAATGAAACTTTGAGATTATATCCAGTTGGTTACAGGCTTAACAGAGTCAGTAAGAAAAATGCTGAAATAAATGATGTGTTCATTCCCAAAGGGACACGGGTGTGCATACCTATCTTTGTTCTTCACCGAGATCCAAAATACTGGTCAAAGCCTGAGGAGTTCTGCCCTGAAAGGTATGAGGACACTGGAAACCTACTGAGAACCAGACCTCTCTAAGTATTCTAAGATACATCTTACTAGTATCCACATAACTATAAATATTTATTATCTTGCATGTGTGTTTGATTTTTAAATGTTTGTAGTGCAAAGTGATAATTATTGTAAAAACTACAGGCACTTCAATCTAGAAAATAATGACACTGCTTTACCTTATTTTATTTTGTTTTGAAGTCCTTTCAAAAACCTTAACATGAATTCCATTAACATCATGGTATCAGTGGACACATTTCTATGTGCCTGTAGGTATTTAAGAATTAGAAAAATATGAGATTTCTCCTGTGTTTAGAAAATCTGATTGCTTTCACTAACCAACAAACACTATTTTATGACTTGTGTTTTTGTGTATGTGTGTGTGTATAAACATAGCTCTATACTTTTAAAATTGTTTATGCTAAGGAGGAGATATAGACAAAGGTCAGTGATAATAGAGTAGAGAAACAGCTATGTATTTGCATACTATTTCACTTAATGACTCTTTGGAGGAGAGAGAAGGTAAAAGATTTGTGGAAGGAGCTCAATGAGGGCAAAACAAGAAGGCTTGAGAGGGAAAGGATGGTGAAGAAGAGAAAACAGTAGAGAAAGATTGGAATAAAACAAGGATGGAAGGATAGAGAGAAAGGAGAAGAGAGAATGGAATGGAATAAAACATTTCATTAATAACACAAATACTTCCCTTATCCAATAAGCAAACCTCTGAAACAGAACCCATCAAATGGGGGAAACATGAATTAAATAATCCACACTCACTCCAAATAGGGTATGCTAAGTGTTTTCTTTGTTATAAGGGAAACTCACAGATTACAATGAGGAAATAGGAATGGAGTCTACGATCCAGGTGTGGTATGGGAATAAGAGGACCCAACTGGCTGGGACATGGCTTTTTGGTACTCAAAGCCCACCCCCCACATCTGGTCCAGCCTCTCAAAGGCTATTGGCTGAAGGAGGTTCTCCATCGCCGCCTCCTTTTGTCTAAATAAGAGAATTCAAAACACAATACAAAACTATATATAATAAGAGCAGATATCAAGTAGAAAAATTAGAATTACAACCAGTATAAACAATGTTAAGAAAGAAACATATACTAAGTGTTTTAATAATTATTCTATCTTAAGGAGTCTAAATCTTGTATTAGAAATAGCTTGGCTAAATCATAAGAGGAAAGTAACTACAATTATCTAATCTTCAAGACCATCAAAGACCTGAAAAAGGAGATAATATTACTTGAGTAGGCAGGAAGTGCAATCAAGCTGCTTCCAAAATATGCAGTAGATGACAGAGACAACTGGCTATCTGGGCAGTCACCCAAAGTCTCATTTGCAATGTTGAAGCAACCAACTTTGGCTAAGGCCTAGAGTAACTGACAGGACATTTTCAGAGACAGGAAAAGTTTCAAAACCATCTTACCCTGCCTTGGCAAGGTTTAGCAGTCTTTTTTCTTGTATCCTACTTGTCCAGTTCAGACACCATACATTTTATCAGTGACCAAAGCAAGGGCACTTGCCCAAAGGCCAGATTTGTCAAGAAGAAAACAAGCTCCAAATGTAGTGACTTTGATGCTCGTCATTATCTTGGGAATAGATTGGTGCTACCAGGAGCAATCATGTCTCAGGTCAAAAGAACCCTAAGTTATTTAAATGCCAATGTTCTACAGTTCTTTAAAGTGGTTGAATATTAACTATCTATGCAGAATAAAATCTCCATATTTCTAAATAACTGATTAGTCTAATTATAAGTATGACAAACATGGATGACTATTCACCTATGTAAGTTAAAAAGTAAGACTTCATATTAGAATATTAAACAATCTTTAAAAACTGTAAAACAAATGAGAACAATAACCTCAAAATGTAAACAATGTGTAAGTATTTTGATCAGAGGTAGAAATGTATAATGCAATATGTTAAATATATCCTAAAATTGTATCAATATATTTAATGTCTTAAACAGAGGTAGAAAAATGCATGCATACCATCTGACAAAATAACTTTGCATAAGTATACAAATATTGTAAAAAGAAATAGGAAGATAAACAACATAACAAATATAATTTGAACTTGTATCAATATACAAAAATCTGTACCAATGTAAAGTATCCATAAATAATAGCTCACAAATATTCACTCTATTACTCACTATCATTATTATTAGTGTGAGGAAGTTCACACTTAATCTACCTATTATCCCATTGAATTACCTTTTTTTCCAAAGTGATCTCTGAGCCTACATAATTTCCACCCCAACCCCAAACCTTATATCAGTAACAATCAACCTCTAAATAATGTTCATAATTCTTAGGACAATTTTAATTCGTAGGACAAACTTTGTTGGGAGGAGGGCCATTATCTTCTAAAATTACTTCCAGCTGTCATGGGGGCAATGTTCTTTCTATGGGATCCTGTAAAAGTAAAATGATGGTTAAGTTTCAAGATTACTTTCTGGTATAATTGCAATTGTCCTGTCATTTCTCTTTCTCAAGAGGTTTCTCCTTTTCAAATCAAATCTTTATTAATTTTGATGGCTTCCATAGCTTTTCTTCCCTTGTTGAAACAAGAGTGAATGTGCTTCCTCAATGTAGCACATCTCCTAGTTTCAATTGGGAGATCAACACATCCTTAAAATACACCAGCTGATTTAATTCAGAAGTTTTTTTCTATTATCTTGTGTCTCTCTCTTGCCATTGTTCAGTTCTCATTAGCACTAAAAAAATTCAAGGTTAATAAAGCATTATGCAATCTATTTCTGGGGGTATTTTCCATTCCTTTATGTTTGTTTAACATGTCTTTTATAGTTTGATTTAATGCCTGGTGACCTTTCTTTATAATATCTTCCTTCCCAGAAACATGAATTTTGCATTGCTGCAATAAGTCGTGACCCTATAAATTCACTGTAATATTAGCTACATATGGCCTCAACCTTCCTTTATGTCCTTCTAGCCGTAGCTGTATGCATTCAACCCACCTCTTATTTTGTTTCATTTGAGATAGGGTTCCAATTTCTAGGATTTGAATATCTGCCTCCTGAAGAGGCCAATCTGGATACCAAGATTCTGGAGTTATGTGAGTTATGACACTCACATCTGCACCTGTGTCTCGAATTCCCTCAGCTGCAATGTCATTTATATGCACTATTAGCTTTGGTCTTTGATCATTTATGGAAGTCTGCCAAAATATATGTTTTCTATTTCCTACTGGAGTTTTTTTTTATTCATTCATGTCTATTCCATCATCCAGAACAATATGTTTTCTTACAGAGGAACTGGATTGTTTAATTTTCCTGGTGAAATTAAAACATGGAAACATGTTTTCCCCATTGTCTGGGAATGACTTGCCCACATTTGATATTGGGGAGGCCTGTGAGAGGCCCCCCAAGGAGTTTCCCAATGTTATCTAGATAACCCTGTCTGTCTTTTGTTGATCTGCATTCATTGGTCCACTATTGGTCTTTGCTACACCTCCTATATATACCAGGAGGCTGAGTCCTCTTATTCTTGCCATTCCTACAGGAGACATTATTCCTAGGAATTCCTTGTCTACAGTCCCTTGATAGATGTCCTATTCTACCACAATTAAAATATTTTGCATTTTGGTGTCTCCTCGTAGCATTGGAAATTACTTCTCCTATCCAAGCCTCAGTACTATAATCAAATGTTTCAGCATTCATTTGTGCGAGATTCTTTCATCTATTGGTGAAAATCTGACCTTTAAAGGCCCAAGTATCCTCTTGCATTCTAAGTTGGCATTTTCAAAATCCAAAGATTCAATAAGTACACGTCTAGCTTCAGGGTTTGTTACTCATACTTGTAAAGCCTTAGTTATTCTTTATAAGAAGTCACTAAAGGGTTCTTTTTGTCCCCTAATATATGGTTCAATTCTCTTTCGTGATTCCTGAATCCTGTCCCAATCATTTAAAGCTGCTGTGTTGCATTGGAACAAGGTGTGTTCATTATGGAGAGTCTGGTCCTGAGGATTGGAGTAATAGCCCTTGCCAAGAATTTGATCTTGGGAAGTCTTAAATCCTTTTGCTTTTCCCTGCTTTTCTAAAATTTTTGCCTCTTTGCACCAATAGTATTTTCATAATAGCTGGGGTCTGTCTTCTAGGATAGCTTAGACTAATTAAAGCCAATTGTGTGGTGTAGCCTTATTGCTTAAAGCCCACATTTTTACCACTTCCCTAATGAACAATAAGTGAAAGCTGTAAGATACTATTGTTTGCTTAATTTCCTTTATGTCACTCATACCTATAGGTTGCCATTTATATTCCTTGACTTCCTTAGTGTATTTTGTACCAGATGGCTTCTCAGAGGAGATTACTAGATAAGCAATAAAACTATATGTGAGTCATCCCTGACTTTTGCCCATATTTGCAAGGCTAAATCCTGTGTTGTATCTTCTCCCCTGCACATCAGTTCCAATAGTTTCCCCAATCATTTCAAATCTTTGTACCATTGCCTTTTGTAAAGTCCAAATCTTCAGTTCTTTGTGCTGTTTTAGTGGCCTTATTGATTCATTTAGCTTCTGGTTCTCATTCTGCACATATGATTCCAAGGTATGAGATTTATTCAGTAAAGATAATGTCTTGTCCTTGTATATTATTTGGATGGTGTGCATATTGCCTTTCTGGAGAGATACCTTATCCATTAATCTATCATAACTTCAACAGATTCTGATTGTTAAGTTTAACAGTATGAATTCTTTCAGATAATTTCTCAGCGCCCTTGCATATTGATTGGATTTTGTCTGTCAAATTAATGTTATCCTTTACAGCAGTATGATATTTTTTCAGTTAGTTGTTCATTAATAGTCTGTAAAGATTTTATCATTTCTATAAAAGTTTTTTTACTCTGTTATCAAGCTATTTTCTTAAAGATATAATATGAAAAATAAAGCTAATTACCAAAATCAAATAAATGCATGGATAAGGAAATCACATAAGCCTGGCAGAGTACTGTCCAGAG